ACAGCTACAATGTCTTCATGCTCAACACACACACTAATTACTGTGACTGAATCCCTGTGCGTGTGTGTGTAACTTTCTCAAACTGTAAAAATGATGGGGTCACATCTGATTCAAGCACCAAGTTTTCAGTTACATAAAGCAAAGCAAACTTCTTGTTATGGTTAACAATAAACCCATTCATGAAGGATTTATAAAGACAAATACTCTCTTCTAATATTGTCCAGTTCACACATCTGTTAAGATATTTATACAGTATGTTGTGTTTTACATATCAGATATGAAAAAATGCTAATTTTATCACTTTGTTTAATTGTTTCAGTTTCATCATCTGAATTTTAAGCTTAAAAATCCACAAACTGCAAATCTTGTTATCTAAGAAAACAAACACAGTACAGTCAGTACTTTTATCATTGCAGTAAAATGAGAAGGACACATGCATAATGCTGGAGTTATCCTGCTCATTTACTGGAGAGCATATTATCCATAAAATACAGGTGAAGAAACTTTGTTTTATTTTGATTTCTTTCCACGATCTCTGAAGACTCTCTGCCGCCACTCTGTGGTAAGATGTAGAGTAGCAGTACAGAAATGTATTTTGTTTAAGCTCAGCTTTGCATATGTAGTTTTTCTTAAGAATAAATGTAATACTGTTGTGCTGCATCACAATGACATGTCCTCCAGAGTTTTAAAACTAAACTAAAATAGCTGCGCTTGGAAAGTTGCAGGAACCTTTGAATAGTTACTCCTATAAAAAATGTTATGTGTTACTACTTGTTGCCCCTGATCTCTGCAGTGGACGTAAAAAGTTACCATTACACATTAAGCAAAAACAGTCACATTGACTAAAAGTATTTCACATTAAAGTAAACCAGAACTCTCCACCAAAGTACAGATATTTGTTTAATTATTCAGAATATCAGAGTTTCTGTTTCTATATCAATAATTAACAGGGAATTCAATCTCAAAAAGAAAAACAGATTTTATTTAGATTTTTTTATGTGGTAAATTCCAACTTTCCCAAACTAAAATAGTAATGTGTTTTACA